TTCTCTCCTTCCTAGTTTTCTCTTTACTCACATTTTTGTTTATTTTCCAATTAGGGTTCTTTATTTTCTTAACTGTATCTGTAATTACTTTTTCAATAAAGATCAGATTTCTGGAGAAGTAAAAAGTGATTAGCTACCCAAGGATTTAATCTACTAAACAGAGCAAAACATCATATATAAGATCATTTTTATGTATAATTTAATTCTAAGTTCTATGTTATCTCTGTCTCAGGGTAAGGGAAGAAGTCCTGGCATATATAAGTAGCCATTTCTCTTTATCTCACTGGTACAAACCAACCATATTAGCTTTCCAGCTGGTAGGATGCACCCACAAATAAGTTACAAATCTTCCAAAAATCCTGAAAGCTACTTCAGACATAGGGTACTCCCTTTTAAAATGGTTCAATATATGTATCATGTGTTAACTTGACTGGGCCATGAAGTATCTACATACTCAGTTAAACCTGACTCAGGGCATGCACGAGAATGTTTCCTGATGATAATAATCATTTGAATTGGCAACGTGAGTAAAGCAAACTGCCTTCTCCAATTCTCACTCATCAACCAAAGGACTGACCAGAATAAAAGACTAAGTAAGAGAGAAAGAACGTGTCTTGAACCATCAGTCTTTCCAATCTTTGGATTCAAACTGGACCTGGGCTCTTCTTTGGCCTCCAGTCTGCAGGTTTTAGAACTACACTTGATCTTTTTTTTTAAAGATTTATTTTTGTTATTTTTTTATTGGAAAGGTGGATATACAGAGATGAGAGACAGAGAGGAAGATCTTCCGTCTGATGATTCACTCCCCAAGTGACCTCAATGGCCGATACTATGCCGATCCGAAGCCAGGAGCCTCTTCCGGGGCTCCCACGCGGGTGCAGGGTCCCAAAGCTTTGGGCCGTCCTCGACTGCTTTCCCAGGCCACAGGCAGGGAGCTGGAAGGGAAGCGGGGCTGCCGGGATTAGAACCGGCGCCCATATGGGATCCCGGGCGTGCAAGGCGAGGACCTTTAGCCGCTAGGCCACCGCGCCGGGCCCAGAACTACACTTGATCTTAGCCAAGAGGCCGAGAAGCAACAGGTTTTGGAACTGACAGCACTGGCTCCCCTAGGCCTCAGACTGCAGCTACATCACGAGTTCTCTTGTGCCTTGTTTGTGAAATCTAGATATGGGAACTTCTCAAGCCCCGAAGAATTTTCTTCTGTATGCCACACATATACATCTTCGTTTATCTGAAAAATCCTAATATGCTATTTTATAAATGACTACATTGAAATACAGTATTGCCAAATCTCATTCAACTTTCTGGAAGGGTGTAAATCACACTGGGAATCATAGATTCTTGTTTTTTTACCACTCAAATGTATATCACTTTTATAGTATCTTGTATTTAAGATGACTCTTAAAATTTCTTCAGCACATCTCTGGTTCATTTTTCTTTCCTGATTTAGGCCACAAGCTGATTAATGTCACCAGTTTTATTATTGATAGCATTAGGTCTTGCATTCAAGTGGATGTTTAGAAGAAACATAAAATCCACTTGGTAACTTAATCTTCCATTTAAGAAGATACCTTATGCCTCATCACCATGAAATATTAAGTAAGATATCAAGTACAACCTACAAATGTATACTTATCAATCCCCAATTCCAAACTATGCAAAAAAAAAAGGAGTGATCACGGGTAATATTTACTATATTGCAGACAGATGGCATGTCCCTTCTGCATATTTTCTGGGTAAGTTTAATAACGTATTCATATTCTTATGTTTTGAAATTAAACACTAGAATGTCAATTTTTTTTAGGGAAAAGGAGCAAAAATAAATGCAGTCCAAGTACTGAAAGAAAGCAAAGACCTGTAAGGCCAAAATCCCAAATCTTAATTTCCTCTCTTCCTTTTTGTTTTCAATCTCTAAAATAACATACATCCTGGACTTGTGAATAAAAGTGTACTGGTTTGGAAATAATGAACCTTCTATTGTCATTTTGTTATCAGTCTTAGCCTAAAGGGTAAAGCACAGTCTTGATTTCTTCCTCGGTTTTTTAATGGAGATAGTACTACTAACTGTGTCATTTTTAAGAATGTTAAGAGAACGAAGTACACTGAACTCTGGGTTCTGAGGAAAAAGAAGCATGTCTTTCTTCAACAAATGCACATGTTTAAGTAACTTTTACATCAAAACTTCAACCTTCTGAGGTAAAACCACAGTTGAAATTGACTAAGAACATGTTTAAAAGTTCAAAAAACTTCTTGACTGGCCTTCCTTACCCAAGTAACAAATTATTGCAATTACATTAAGGAATATTTATTAAAAACTTAAGATACCTTTTTGTAAGTTAAAAAAGTGCTAAAAAAATTAAAAATAAACAGGGTGGTGAGGCGGGACCTATATAATGTCACATACAAACAGTAAAAAGTAGAAGTCTGAAATGACAAGTACATTGTTAACACACGACTTTACAAAACAGTTTTTCATATTTGTCTAATTAAATTTAAACTGAATTCTAAAAGTCTCTCACAAAACAGAATTCAGACAAAAATCACTTGGTAGCCTTTTGTTTAGGACACAAGTTGTATGCAGATAAGATCCAACGGAAATAAATCATCTGAAACATTAAGAAAACCTAATGCTTCACATGAGAGAATTTCTGTGCTATTCCGAACACTATCAGCTAGGTAAAATATATTAATAAAAATATTAATACACTTAATCCTTTCCAAAACAATTATCTTTCCAAAACAAAATCTGAATGCAAAGGAAAAAAGCACAGACCCTATGTCTCCTTCCTATTAGCAGGAATCTTTGTCCACTTGTCCTTTAGGAAGCAGGGCTTATCCATGACCCCGCTTTACCTTTTTTTTTTTGCGCAAACTTATAGCAGTTTCTCCTCCCTCCCCCCGCCCCCCCATATCCCACTCCAATCATTCTGTGTAACTTCTTCTCCAAGAAAAGCCTGCAGTCAGAGCCAAACAAATTTCAGTCAGTTTCAACGCATCCCTCCTCTCCTATTCGGGTTCTGGCTTATTTTTATAGAATAAATAAATAAATAATAAAACAACTATACTGCAAAATTCTTTTCAGCAATTCTTTTTCATTCAAAAATTTAATTTGATCTTCAGAGGATTCCTTTGAAGATACCACTTCCTTTTTTATGGACAACTGAGTTCAGAAACAATACTCAAGGTCACAGAGTTTGTAAGAGACTGAGTCAAGATTCAAACTCAAGTCTGTCCAATTCCATGAAGCCTGGCCCATGTGTTTTATTATCTTCTGTATCCAATTATCAAATCACATATGATGCAAGAAATTCCAATCTGAAGTAGTCATACTTTAAAAATTCATCAAAGATCATTCAATACTAGTGTTACCCTACACTCTATAGTTAGAATGAAACTTAATAGGGAAAAAGGGAAAAACCAATAGCTTTCGTTTTGCATTTTAATTAGTTCATTTTTGGTTTAAAAGTGCAAAGTTCTGGTTCCGTAAATTATTCAACAGGAATAATACAAACTTAACCAAACCTGCACATTCTGTAGCGACAGACTTAGTAAACTGGGCATGGCACAGTGGCTGGGATCCTCTCCTTATATGCACCAGGATCCCATGTGGACGCCAGTTTGTGTCCCAGCTGTCCCATTTCCCTTCCAGTCCCCTGCTTTGGCCTGGGAGGGCAGCAAAGGACAGCCCAAGACCTTGGGGACCCGCACCCACATGGGAGACCCCAAGGAGACCCCGGCTTCAGATCAGCTCAGCTCCAGCCATTGTTGCCACATGGGGACAACATCTCTCTCCTCCTCTCTGTATATCTTACTTTCCAATAAAAATAAATAAAGCTTCAAAAAGAATTAGCAAATTACATTACTTAAGCACCCAAAGCCAACTGATAAAGTGATTAGCTAGGCAGGCTAGTTGGTAATAACCATAAATTTCTCTTAATACACCAATATGTGAAAAGTATCAAAGCAGTGATGTCTATTTCAATTAACAGATTTGGGAAATATATCCAATTAAAAATAGCTTTCATGGGGAAAAAAACTGGAGAAGTATAGTTTGTAGATTGATTTTATTCACCTTATCTTCAAAATGAGCCTGTGTTCTATAAAACAACTAGTCTTTTCCATACCCCTCAAGGAAAGGTGAAATTTACCTTAGGGCACAATTCAGGAATAAGGAACAACACAGATATCAAGCTACTCCTAAGGGACTAATTCAAGTCAAAAGAAATCTTAATAAATCTCTGAATCAGTCTGAACCAGAAAAGGTTCAGGAAGGGCTGAACTATACAAATATTCTCTGTGAAAATCCTACTACACAAGAAATGTGTACACTAATGAAAATACATAAGCAAACAAAATCCCTACAAGGGATGATAGACACTGATTGTGGGAAACCTGGAACCTAAATCTAAACTCAGCTGACAGCCTTACCCCAGGTCTTTTAATAGCTGTTAAATGCTGATACCTAAATTTGCTTTTTTTCTAACCTTTTTTCCTTTTAATTCAGTATATCCTTCACCACAGGATGAGGTTTCAATTTCTGCTTGCTCTTTGTTGCAATAAAAACTTTATTTCAATCTCCTAGGTCTCTGATGGATAAAATCAAGACATCCTCCACCCCCAAGTTTAAAAAAAAATCCAAAATTTCTAAATACAGTTTAATTTTTGTAAATCAGTATAAAAACAAAAAGTGAATTAGTAATGGAATAGTAAATTAGCTAATAGCTGCTTACATACATGCTATTTACATTCACCAAACCTAAATTAATTCTCTAAATAAAAATAGAAACATTGAGATAAAGAACAATCTTACCAAGCATGACAGTGAGAGGATTTATAGTCTTCTAAAGCAGTATAAAACACATAGCTAACCAACAAATCAGGCAAAAACTAAACATCACAAAGATGCCTTTAACAGTACTCAGTCAAAAAAAAAATTAACATTGAATTAGAAACCTCCACAGCAATTAATGTCATATGAAATGCAGAAAATTAGTAAATACCTGAACTGAAGTGGCTGATTCCTGTAAATGGCCACCAGCAACTGCTCCTTTGGCAGTGGCCAAAGGGACACTGTGCATTCTCGGGGTTCTTGGAGTGCCAGGATTTTCATCTGTCCTATGTGAGTGCCACGCTTCCTTTCGATGATGAGCTTCTGTAGTCGGCTGGTCTCCAAAAGCAGCCCAAGAACAACCATCTTTTTCTTCATTCTCAAAAGCATTCCAGTCTGCAGCTTGGCTAGGCCCAGCTGAACTGAAGTCTGCAAAATCATCCGAGTCTTGAAAAGCACTGTAGGCCTCCTGGGTATCTGGCCCAGAATCAAAATCTCCAAACTCACCTTCTTGCCCATTTTTCAGTTTTAAAACAGGTTCAGTACCTGGTCCACCAGACTCTCTTGCCAACTGACATCCCTCTGATAAACTGTCAGAAGTTTGTCTTAGGTTTGACTCAGTAAATATCATTTCCTCTTGGCAAGAAACAGTATTTGTATCCCCAAATTCTCCAAAGTCATCACCTGGTTCACTAAAATGTGGAAAGTGCTCTGAAGACTCTTCAAAAGTGACGTCACTCATTGAGTCTTGAGTACCAGTAACATAAGGTGGAGTTGTGCCACTGGCTGTGCCAAAGTCACCAAAATCATCCTCATTGGTGTCGTTACAAGTCACAAAATCATTACTACTATCACCATTTTTTACAGAATCATCCAAAACATTTTCTTCAGTGGGATCAATGTTCAAGCTTTCAAAATTAGTAAACTTCCTACTTTCTTCTTTGGAAAAACCAACTGAATCCCCAGCATCAGAAATTTTAATAGAATCCATGGACAGGTCATCACATTTAGTGTTAGACAAATCACGTCTCTCTTCAGCTTTACATTGCTCTCTCCTGATGACTTCTGAACCATCAGCCGAGTCTACCAAACTCCATGTCTTTGTTTCAATATCTGAATTTAAAAACTCATCCTGCTGCAAAGCTGGAAGTCCTGGTTGCTCAACACTGAAACCTCTGCTAGCCATGACACTTATTTCTGAAACACAAACCTGGTCCTCCCCATCAGAGTCTCCTTTATTGTCACAGCTTCTACTCAAAGAGAGCTGTACAGAATTCAGTTCACTGGCTCTGTTAATTTTATTGTTTTCCTGAATAGTTAGTGCTTTTCTATCATTTAAGACTACACATCCTATTTCTTCAAGTTGTATTCTTTCCTGTTTGGAAAATGTGGCAAAATCTGCGAATTCATCAGCAGGTCTCAGCGCAGAGTCTCCGTTACTAGAGCCATGAGTGCTAAGAGGCTTCCGTCCCTCTGAATGGGCTCCGCTGTCCAGATCATCGGTTCCCTGAGGATTTACACTTTCCAGCCCTGCAAACCCATTTGTCAAAATCTCCAGACAGGGCGGCTTTTCACCATTGCAGCTCTCTAACTGCATGTTTTGATGAACAACATTCTCATCAGTTCTAAAATCTCCTGGAAAGAAACTTTCTGGTGTTCCAACATTCTGTCTCTGCTCTATGACTTTATTTAAAACTCCTGGGCTTTCAGAACAATCTAAAGTTTCAGATGCAATTATTTCTTTGCTGGTGGTAGAAAGCAAAACATCAGATTGTCCTTTCACAGGAGAAGATTCAGCAGTGATATCCTTATCATTTCCATTTTTAATAGACTTAAAGCTTGTAAGGCCATCTACGTTTTCTGAGAAATTGCAAATTGGCATAAAATGGTTTGAAGGTACAAACTCTTCCTTGGGACGAGTATAATCTGGTGTATCAAAATCAACAAAACCTACACCAGAAGGGCTAACTTCTGAAAACCCACCAAACTCCCCAAATTCATCATCGTCGTCCTCCTCTGCTCCATTGTCTAGTGGTGGTGGGGATGAAGAGTACATTCGAATGATGTCTGGCTCCATTGCTGAGTTGGTTCGCAAATAATTAATTGATACCTGTAAAAAGGAAAAAGGGTTGTTGCTTTTTATTTTTTAAGGAGGGGGCAGTTTACATATAAAGTCAAAATTTTCACAACACTACTTCCAAACAGTGCAAACTTACATTACTCAGTTTTGCATCTTTTAAGCTATTTTTCACAGGTGAGACTACTTCACTGTACTATAGTGGAAAAAAACCCAAACAAACCCTGATTTCTAATGTAGGTTGAAAAGGGAACTAGCAGTACCTTAATGAAATTTAGGGATGCTAGAAAATTTTGAATATATTCTTATGAAAGCATACTTACAAAATGTTCTCTCAGGTACTTTCTTATTTTGTTAAATGATCTGTCAAACTCACTGAGGACTCAGTACTTGCTTTATCGATTTGTATTGAAAATCTTATCTAATTTATCTACAATGTTTTATTACCTTTGCTTTTCAATACTGACCTATTATTTTTGAAAATTTTCATAAAATTTCATTTTTATAATTTTTTTCCTTCCTTTCCTTCCCTTCCTCCTTTCCCCTCCCTTCAAATTTTAACAGAAAGGCAGGCAGGGTGCAGGACACACACTCACACACCTTCCCATCCATAGGTTTACTACAAACACACACAACTCATTCTCTCTCTTCCCAGCCCCTGGTTTACTCCCCAAATGCCTGCAACTTCCAAGGCTGGGTCAGGTTTACACGAGGAAACTAGAACTGGTCTCGTATGTGGGTGGCAGGGACCCAAGTACTTGAGCCATCACCTGCGGCCTCCAGTGATGTGCATTAGCAGGAAGCTTGAATTGGAAGCAGAGAAGCTGTGACTCAAGGAATCTGACAGTAAGATGCAGGTCAGGCATCTCAAGTAACAACTTTAAATGTAGTGTCAAATGTGGTCCCCATCCTAGTTGACTTTTTTTTAAAGATGTATTCATTTTCATTGGAAAAACGGATTTACAAGGAGACAGAGAGAAGATCTTCCAGCCACTGGTTCAATGTCCAAAGCTGAGAGCCAGGAGCCTCTTCAGCCTCTTCAGGGTCTCCCACAAGCACACAGGATTCCAAGGACTTAGGCGTGTCCTCCTCTGCTTTCCTCGACCACAGGCAGGTAGCTGGATGGAAGGTAGAACAGCCAGATGCAAACAGGCACCCTAAGGAATGCCAGAACTTGGAGGTGGGAGATTAGCTAGTTGAGCCATTGTACCAGCCCTAGTTAACTCTTTAATAACTTAACTGTGAAACTGTTTAAGATCGATATTGAAAAATATTACAGAGTACTTGAGTGTATTTCACCAGCTATCCTCAATGGCCATCTGGTAAATAACCAAAGTACAGATGATCTTTGATGTAAAATGGGTTATGTTCCAATAATCTTAAGTTGAAAATATCAAGAAAAAAAAATGTATTTGATACACTTAACCTACAAACATCACAACTAGGCAACACAGTGCCCTGTATAGTATGGGCTGCTTCCCCACGGGGCTGACTGAGTAGAAACCCACTGCTGCTGTTCAGCATCATCAGGAACTCCCATACTGTGTATCACTACTCCAAGAAGAGAGTCCAAGAAAAATTTAAAGTATGATTTCTGTTGAATACATATTCTGTTGAGTAAAGTATGATTTCTGTGGAATAATGCCATTGTAAAGCTGAAAAATCCTAAGTCAAACCCTAGTAACTCAGGGACCACCACAGTACATGATTAAGTAAAGAAAAATGATGAGAGGGCCCGGTGGCATGGCCTAGCGGCTTAAGTCCTCGGCTTGAACATGCCGGGATCCCACATGGGCACTGGTTCTGACCCCATCAGCTCCACTTACCATCCAGCTCCCTGCCTGTAGCCTGGGAAAGCAGTCGAGGATGGCCCAAAGCCTGGGACCCTGCACCCATGTGGGAGACTCGGAAGAGGTTCCTGGTTCCCAGTTTTGGATCGGCACAGCACCGGCCATTGCGCTCACTTGGGGAGTGAATCATCGGACGGAAGATCTTTCTCTCTGTCTCTCCTCCTCTCTGTATATCTGGCTTTGTAATAAAATAAATAAATCTTTAAAAATAAAAGATGAGAGCATCATACATACACTGTGAAGTCAGATATTGACCTCTGTGTGGATATCACCAGTTTGTGCATATATGCATAGTTTTGTATCACATGCACAGATTAGTGTAACCACCGTAACAATCTGGTTAAGAACCATTCCTTTGTTACTCCTTACTAACAACATACTTTCTTAAACACTGAACCTTGCAAACCACTGATCTAGTCTATTATAATTTTGCAATTAGCTTTACTTAACTGGTATTATCACATGTAACCCTCTGATTTTTTTCCCATGCAATCTAATGCTCTTGAGAGCCACCCCAGCTATTTTATGCAGCAGTTCAATCCTTCTTATTGTTCAGTAGTATTCCACTGTATAGCAGTACCACTGACTGTCCAGTCTTTCCTTATAAGTTGCTCTTTGTTTGGGTTGCTTCCAGTATTTTTCTATTACAAATAAAGCTACTATGAACATTTTAGATATAGACTGTTATGTTTTCATTTCTCTAAGATACCATGGTGGCTGAGTGCTGAGTCTTACAGTATGTTCAATTTACAAAAAAACCTATCAAATAGTTTTCTCAAGTTAATTTTCATGGGGCCGAATCAATTGATCTTTTTGTTTACAATTTTCCTCACTATTTTGCTTTCATGTAAGCTTAAGACTAATACCCAGTTTTATTTTGTTTTACTTTTAGTTCTTTTTAAAATTAAAAAAAGATTTGAGAGGCAGAGAGACCGAGTTTTCCAATCTGGACTCAGTCCACTCTCATATGGGATATATTCCAAATAACAACTTAATCACCTAGGTTAATCACCTACACTTACAATACTTAATTTTCCTAATATTTTTTAAAAATTTATTTATTTTTATTAGAAAGGCATATATATAGAGACAAAGATCTTCTACCTGCTAGTTCACAAACAAATGGCTGTGATGGCTGAAGCAGAGTCAATCTAAAGTCAAGAGCCAGGAGCTTCTTCCAGGTATCCCACACAGGTGAGGATCCCAAAGCTTTGAACCAACCTCTGTTGCTTTCCCAGGCCACAAGCAAAGAGCTAGATGGGAAGTGGTACAGTTGGGACACCAACTAGCCCGCATGAGATCCTGGCACTTACAAGGCTAAGATTCAGCCACTGAGCCATCACACCAAGCTCTGCAACACGTATTAAAATAAAAAGTGTGATGCCTGAAAAATGAAGTAATTTATTGTTCAAGGCCTATTTCAAATTCAGCTGTTAGCACAAAGCTCTGCATCTGGGATTTTGTGACTAAGCAATGACATGGAGTAATTTTCTTCCTGCTGACCTTGTCAAGTACTTTACTTCCCTTTCTAGGTGACAAAGACTCTATCAGCTTCCCAGATGGTTCCATAATTCTCAAAAACAGAGGCATCTATTTATGTGTAGATTCTGGGCTGCTACATGTTACTCTGAAGCTTTTGGCCCTGATGCAACTCACTCTTCAGAAACTTGAGAGGGTCACTGCTTCTAAGTTTCAATCAGCCAACCACCGTGGAGGCGGCTCAAAACTTTCCATAAAATTCCCCTGTGTCAGGCCAACTCTACTTAAAGAAGCTCTATGATAATATTATTGGTAAAAATGAATTTATAAATAATATTTGACTTAGATAATCAATTTTTTAAAAAACACAGAAAATGTGTTTAAATAGCCAGCCCTGCAGTTAAAAAATAAATAAAAAATAAAAAGAAGGGGAAGTGGAATAGTAGATAAGCTACTTTAATATTCTGTTGGATACAAAACAAACTCAACAACGTTCCTTCATCTTTCTTAATGGGCTATTTACACCTCACCACAAGGTGTCCCTATCAGTCACTGCATTTCTAACTTGAGCAAACAAGCATGTATGTGTGTTTCTATATGTGTATTTATGAAGAGGGATTGTGTTCAACCTGATATTTATGTCCATTGCAGGAGGCTTGTTAGATAGAAGAAAAGAGCCAGAAAAGTTGACACAAACAACATCTCATGACTGAGGCATAGAGGTAGCGTGAAGGCAAGTGAGAGTATGGAGACTGAGAACGTGGATAAGCCTCCAGTATTTCTGGAGGTTTGTCCATGGGAAATTCTATCTTTATAAGAAGATTAGGATATAGTAACAGGTAACAACAAAAATTAACAATGCAAATGAAAGCAGACCTTCAGGGCTACAAACCAAAAACGTTGGAGGCTTTGGGGAGGTCCAAGAAAATGGGCCAAGAGCACAGTCTCGAAGTTTATGGTTACAGCAATCAGCAATGGAACTCCAGCCTTGTGCCAGGTTAACATCTAGTGTGCAGGGCATCCATGAGCAAAGGTGATCCAGCATTAATCTTTTACCAGAAGACTGTTGCACTGTTTAAAGCACATCTAGCCTGAATTCTGAAATAGTTATATAAAAGATGGTATGAAGACTCTGTAGGTTGAGAGTTGTATGGTCCAGAGGCAATGAGGGCTTGGCAAGCAAGAGCAAAGGGAAGAATGTGGTCAACTACTATCTGAAACTACTGGCCTTTTAACAAGTTTCTCAAGAACAAGGTTAGAAAACAAATACTAAGATTTGGCTTAAAGGTACACACATCTTGTTCAAAAAGATGGCAAAGCAGTGTGGCAGGAAAAGAATAGCCTTTTCAACAAAAAATGCTAGATTAACTGGTTATTCTCACAGAGGGGGAAAATTTTTTTATTTTATCTAACATCTTATACCAAAGTAAGCTTGAGCTAGATCACAGGCCTAAATATGAAAGGTAAATAAAAATAGTAACAATAATAATGATGATGATAGTAAAAAAAAAATCTTCTGAAAGGTAACATGAAAAAAAATAACACGAGAGATCATTTTCATGACCTTAGTGAAGGCAAAAATACTTCAAACCAGAACAGAGAAATCACTCTAAACATGAGATAAAGACTAATAAATTGGACTGCATTAAAATTTAAAACTTCTCTTCATCAAAAGAACACCATTAATAAACAGTGAAAAGGCAA